TCAATATTTTATGTGCATTAGGTCCATAATTATAGACATATTATTTCGGACTGTGTACACATGTTTCTGCGTTTCATTCCTCCTCCAGACATGGCCTTTCAGTGTGGAGTTTGTATTTTCCTCCGTGTGCTCCGGTTTCCCCTACCACTAAAAATGTACAGTAATCCAGGTGATAGAATGTGTGTTTGTGAGTATGACTGTGGACTACAAAGCTACAATCAGGTGCGGTGTGTTCATTAATCAACCCAAAACACAATAATTGAACAAGCAAAAGGTGCTAATTGCACTTTAATACGATTATTTACTTCAAAATCAGGTGAACGGTGCAGGAATAACAACAGCTTCTATGTGTGTGTAACAGTTTTTGAATCTGAGAAAGAAGAGATAAAAATATGAGCATGGACCTGAGTGTAGAAACTCAAAAAACATGGAAACCTTCAGTTGATTTAACAAGAAATGTTTGAGTAAATTCACATACTTTGTTGCTAAAATATAAACTATGCAGCATTTGATGGTAATTGGTAAAGAATAAGAGCCCAAAATAATACAGTTTAGTCCTTAAAGTGTTAGTCTTACAGATTAGAAAAGGATAATGGTGATTTACTGAAAATATGTTGGGATTGTTGAATCTTTGATGGATGACAATCATGAATTTGCACTCAAAGTCTGAAGTGGAAAGACAAAAGTTCTTCAAGAAAATGTTAATAAATGTATGTGTGTGCCTCAAACTTGTTTTGCATTTCATTCTAAAAAAAAGATTCCAATTCTGATTTCCTTTTCCTTGTTTCTACAAAAAATAACACATTGTTGTACTGTAGTGGGAGAGAACATTTTTCCATTTTATTATAACATGGGCTTTATTTTATTTTTTATTTCAGGCCTATCTTTGCAGGCTTATTCCAAACGTGCTTGTGATCTGCTGTTTCTTTCCGGGCATTCTGTTTGGCTTGGAATTATGAGCTAATTATCCGATTCCTGGAACTTAGCGCAATTGTGAATATGGGTTATAAAAAAAACGTGTCATGGTTTCTCAGTGCAAAATTGGATGCATCATATCATTTGCTTTGAATTCATTCGCGGGTGTGACGATGATCTTCTAGATGGAATCCAAAAATCCGGATTCTAGTCAGGAGGAGTGTGTTTGTTAACTGTTTATCACTTGGTCCTCTGCCGACTCCTGAACAGCTATAGAGGATGTTTTACATATCCTGCCATCTAAGATTACCTTATTGCTTGTAAAGGCCTGGTGTGGATGTGTGCCTCATTACCTTGGGACATTGGTCATTTCATTTCAAGGGTCTGATTTTCATTAACTGCTCTGCCCCCTACCCATTAGCGGAATGAAAGCTTGGCTGCAACCATCTGGCTGCCAATGAGACTTCTGGGTTTCTTTATGGTCATGCTGAGTACAGGATATAGTTGTGTTTTCTTAGTACAAAAATGATAAAGTGAAGCCACATCAGAATCTAGACACTGACAGAAGAGTTGATGAATTATATCACTTTTTGATTCACTGTATGAATATTTCTATTACCTAATGGTTAAAATATCATAAAATATCACTTATCTATCTCTATACTTTCATCTGAGTCTATGAAAACTAAGGCCCCGTTTAGATGGAGACGCAGCAAAACAGTCAGCAAAAACACAACCCCCAGCAGTATAATCACTTCCTCAACAACATCCTCCTCAGGCCGCTGCAAAGACGTGAAAGAATACACCAATGTCATTTTGCATTTAACAATAGCAGCGAAAATGTAAACTGAAACTTGAGCTTTGCGTGGTTTTGCGTGTAGTGCTCGAAGCATAGCCAGTTAGTTGACCCGCCACCACTGTTGTTTACGTTTGTTCACGGGTGCCGCGTATGTCCAAATGTACGTGTGGGGAGGTGGGGGTCATAGCAGACAGAGAATTCACACCTTTTTCTTCACACAGCTGTGATACAGCCCCCCGCTGTGCTGTCTATCTGTTCTGTTCCACTCTGGAAGCTGTTTCTCAACACTTGCGTTTTCACCCCCCCTGGAACATCGTCTCCATTTAAACAAAAGGCCAAACTGATATCCAATTCTAACTTTTACTGTCTCAGTGTCTCCGCTTAAACACCACCTAAGAGGGCTTCTCAAAAGGACACACAACAAAGATAAAATGAGATAAAAGAACCTTTATTCATCCTACAGTGGCAACATTTTTTATTTCAAAGTGGTCACTTAAAAGTTGCCTGATATAGGGACAAAGTATAGGTACCATACTCCCAATGGATTACATTGAATTAAGGGAAATGAAGTGGGAGTACATGAAACTACAAGCTCACCACTGCTTTTAGGCAAAAACCGGTGGTTCTATGAGTTTATGGCTGTTGAAAAGTTGGCTACTCAGCCATTGCCTCTACACACAAGCATCTTATTTGACACCAGAGATGAGAGATCAGACCTAACAGAGTCCTTTTAGTTATTATTGTATAGCTCTCACCTTTGCAGGAACCAAAGGTAGAAGAAGACCACCATGTTTCACTTACTGTATGTGATGCTGAAGTGATGCTTGAGGAAAATCAATCAAGCAACGATTGAATGTATATCTGTATAGTAAATTGTGTCTCATAATCTGGGAGGAGGACAAAAAAAAAGAGATGCAAAAACAGACACAGTTTCTGCATCGACTGATTAAAGCGCTATGTGACGAAAAGTCTAAAAAACAGTGAAGGAAAGGTAGACCGACACAGCTGAAGTACAGGAGATGTAAGTGTCATTGTGTCTGCAAAGTTCAAACAAACGGTATATCGTTTTTTTGTGTCTTTCAAGAGGGCAGAGGTGGTTCATCAGAGCAAGCTCAGGGTGCTGCACGGAAAACACAGCATGCTGCTTATTGTTTGAATGACTACGCTATTGTTGAAGATCATTGATTTTGTTTTGTCTTTAAACCACCCTTGAACTATTCTTGTCTCTTGTTTGTTTCACTATATATCATGTTTGAAAAAATATATACAGTATATTATGAAGACAGATGCAAGACAAGTCCATTTTGGTTTATTCAAAGAACTAGTTCACAGGCTCTTTCCCTCATTTTGTACATTATTTCTTTGAAAAATTCACTTGCAAGTTGCCTTAACACATGTTGTTGAACAAGCCAACGTCAGCATCCATTGCCATAACATGACTGTTTTTAAAGATGGCGTCCCAATTTCCCTTCTCACTGACCACTTGATATTGTACTTACCACTCAGCATTTTTCAATCAGCTCTTCCTGTATGGGATTATGTGAGCATGCTGACTTCATGACGATGACCCCAGTCAAAGCGCTCTCATACCTATTTTAGTGCAATAAAGGGATAATAAATAACACAGGACAGTCATTTATACAGTGACTCTCTTCGCCACTCTCCACCCAGATGGAGCTGTTGTCCACTTGCTGTGATTAAATGCTGCTTGAGCAGTGATGTAATGCCATATTGATTTTTCCAGGATGAACCTTTTTTCTTCTTCTCTGGCTGCAAAGGAAGGCCAAAGGTCAGCAACTGCACAAGCCTCAGGGTCTTGGAAGAGTCCGATTGGGTTGTTTAGTAAGTACATCTTTACATATGCTGTTCTCCAGTGCTGTATTTGTGTCCAACATTATTTTTCTTTTTTCCATCAGAAGTATTACCTTGTGCAATACTCATATTTAACGTATTTGACTTTGAGCCACATAAAACGACCAGACTGTCATGAAAGCACCTGGCAGAGATGTCACCTCTGGAATAGACACTGCGTACAGTTCCTTATTGAAAAAGGATATATCAAACATCCGTGCAATACGAATCCAGTGGAGCAAAGTGTTCTGGGATCTAAAAATAAACATTTATATCAGAGTGTCATTGATATACCAAAAGTGAAAAATACCTTGAATTGCATACTGCTATAGGCTTCTACCCTATGTACATTTACTAAAACACATTTGTATAGTTTATACAAACTATAAATCCAATGCCATTTAAATGGAAAATTAATGAACAAACAAGTATTATTGTATTTAGAGCATAACTTGTAACAAGAGAGTGTTAAGTATGTAGGATATGGATTCGATGTTTTATATTTTATTTATTGTGGCTGCTATCTCCAAAATTATGCCTTTATAAAAAATAACTCCTGTGTGGAGTTTGCATGTTCTCCTCGGGTCCATTTCCAGCCCGAGGGAAGTAAATATATATATAACTATTATATGTTATTTTTTGGAGTTGTCCACAGCATGCATGCACAATTCCAAAGAGAGTAGAATCAACATCTGGAGCAGTGCTGTGGACAAACTTATAGCTTGACTTAAAGCTATGTTTTAAAATCCATCTGACTAATATTTGCTTTCATAAACGTTGTTATAAATGTTGAAAAAGAGGGGAGCACGAACCACACACACAGCCGATCACCTCTCAATTCAAAGAGGCACTGAACACTGACTCACCGGTCTTTGAAATATAGCATGTTTTCTTTTATGAGGATGGCAGCAGGTTGTGGTCTTATTTGCTCACAAAATACTACAGAATGGTGTATAAATAAAGTTTAAATAATTGTTCCTCCGTCATTATTTGTCTTAGTTGTACAGATCGGTGGGGACGGGACAGGGGGTGGGTGAATAAATCCCAATGGTTACTGCGACCTCCATAACGAGCGCTCCATACGCGTTGCGCGCTGAGAGGCAGGTGTTGTGAAGTTTTGAAGGGGCTGTTCCCGGAGCTGACGCAAGGAGCTGTCCGTGGTGCTGAATCCTCCCACTCCGCCTGCGCTCTCCTCTCCATGTGCCACGGCTCACACCGCGTCGAATCCCACACAGCGGAGTCTCCTGTCCGCACGCAAGCCAGACAGAAGCCACTCATCTGATTGCTCTCCTACTTAGAATCATCACAAGTAGAACAACCGAGCCATATACGACCAGCGCGCGTGTGTGTCTTTGTTAGTCTCTTCTCTTTGCCCGGGAAGTATCGCCTGTTTGAAAACACAAAGACGCGTCTGTGCAGAGACTTTTGGGCAAAGATGGGACGCGGCAGCCATGTGCGGACCATCCTCGTGGTGCTGGTGATCGCAGTGTCCGCGGGGGAGATGCGTGCACAAGGTAAGAACTCATCGCGGGTTTGTTTGTTCCAGTTGAACTCTAAACAGCGAGGGCAAAGTCGGTCACGGTGCCACAAGTGTGCTTTGATCAAACGGCGCGACGAGAGATGGACGCGCAGTTTAATCACGCAGCGCTTTTTCTGTGGAAAATATTTGTGATCTGTTACTCTTTGGTTAACGAGCATCTTTTACTTATTTTAAAGAACTTGGTGTTGATTTATTCTGTCATATCTTGCCAGACTAATTTGTGGAGCACGCGGCCAACACGTGGCCAATTATGACAGAAGTTCGTTTAAATGTATTGTTAGTTATTAGGACAAGTAACTAATAATATGTGATCAAGTGAAATAAGTTGTCAGTAAAATGAAGTTGAGGCGTAACACACAGAGAGAAACATGTCTTTTGTGTAATAAATAATTCACAATGCAGTTGTTTTCCAGTCGTTTAACGCACATTGGACTGGCGAAACAGCAGCAATGTTAACAACTTATCCGAATAGGATGTATCTTGTGCGCAGGTATACAGTGATTTGATTTTGCAGTCAGATTGAGAGATGTGTTTTGGCCGCAGAGGTCTGCGTGACAGACGGTGCTCCGTAATAAGACTCTAATCCTTAGGAATTGCTGAAGATTATTGACCAAGCTGTTTGCCACAGTCGAGTGCCTGTGGGAAGCAGCGGCGGATTCATCCACCCTGGCCTTGGCCTAATGAGGTGTTTTATTGCTCTATTTGTGCAATGTCATAAGTGTCTGCAAATGACTTCACATTGCTCAGGCTATTTGTTCAGAGCCCTGTGAAAACTGAAGGGCCATCTCTGAACCAACGCCTCACACAGTTTTACATGATGAGCCATACACTCACAAGAACATTTGCACTTTTGCACATTCGTGCATAACAACACAAAATTCTATTAGTTCATAAAGTGCATTGCATTTTAATATTTAATAGCCGAGTATATGTGAAAAAAACTAAACACAGTCAGCGTTGTGCTAAGAGGCTCAAGAAGTGTAAATTTTTTAGTATTTTCAGTCACAATTGCTTTTATTCTCAGAAAACGCCCTGTTATTGCTTTTTGTACAGGACTCTGGGGAGTGGTAAAATGCACAGTGATGTATTTTTAAGGAAATTTAATATAACAGCTTCCATTCATGTATTCTGTGTGGTTGCTTTGCCAGCAAATGGTCAGATCACTTGGAAAGGTTTTCAGTTTTTAATCCCCTCGTTGTTGTACATTGTCAGGAGTTGAAGTGGCGCTGAACGACTTTCTTCTGGAGGAATATAAGGATTTGTTCAGTGGAGACGCATGGCTGCTTGTTGTTGTGGACCTGTTTTGGCCCGGTTCCTTTTCCCTGAGTAGTAAATCGATTTTTGCTGTCACAAGCACAAGAAAAACTTCACTGTACTATTTATATGGGTCTATATTAAGATGTATACTTTTTTTCAGGGCCTCTATTTTGCTATGTCAGAGCAAATACACCTCTAAAATACATAAGAGAGGAGACACAAACAGTATTTCTTACGAATGTGGAGAGGAACAAAAAATATGAGAAGTGGATGATACTTTATAGACACAATCTACATTTGAGTTGCATTTAACAATACATTTGAATAACCCGTACAAATAATTACTGTAGAAATATTAATTGGATGAATATTATTAATGTAACTTAAAATGAAATGAATAAAAACGGGATTTGTTGAAAATCAAATTTTTAATACAGTGAATTTTAATGTTTAATGCACCTTGCACACATCTGAAAAGTGTGACAATGTGGCAGGTCCACATTGTTCCAGAACAATACAATAAGATGTTCATAAATTTCTTATTTACAGTTTTTTGACTCTCCATTCAAGTCCTTTGATAATTATCAAGACAGAGAAGCTACTGCAATGGCTGCGATGCTTCTAATCCACCCTTAACAAAGCAGACCATAATTACTGCATTCAGATACTGCCATTTTACGGTCAATAAAACCCTGACACATTTTAATGACTGCACTATTGAAAACGGAGAGATCCATATTGGTTTCTGTGTTAAAGATTTACACAGCGCTATGGCTGTTCAGCTGTGCCCATTCTCTTTACACAGTGTCAGTCTTATAACAGTTTGTATTATAGGAAGTGCTCAGAACTGTATTGACACCTGTTGGTGCTTCAACACCTTTTTAAAAACTCATCACTCATTCAATCCATAGTAATGTGAACGGCAGCGACTCCACTTTCCCTTATTTTTTTCGTGAACAAATGTTCCCGGATCTTGGAAGTAAGACGGCATCCTTTTGCCTCGGGGTGGATTGATGCTGTGAGCGAAGGGGGAAAAAAAGTGAAGGCGGTATAATTCCAGGGGAGGTAATAGAAATCATTCAACACCTGTTTGTTGGATTGCCAGTGATTAACTTCATCAAGGGCTATTCAGCATCTGCGCGCTGTCATAATTAGTTTAACTTTCCCAAGGCCTGTCAATGGTAAATGAGAGTCATTATGGCAGAATGCCCCTCTTGAAGGCTTCTGCTCCTCTGCCTGGGTCCTCTCCGCGGCTCGCTCGCTCCTTTCACTGCCTCCTAGGTAGCGCTCGCAGCTTGGCTCAATGCAACTCATTTGCAACTCTTCATGTGCAAATGGCTCTTGCTCCACGACAAGATTCTATGCATCCTAATTTGAGCCATTGCTTCACATATTTCCTCTGACTTATTTTCCAAGGGGAGTTTGCTCTGAAAGGATCTTTTGGCTCCTTTCCCCCCACAATTTGCTCAAACTGGTTCACCAGCTGCAGGTTTTATATAAAGAAAATCAACTCAGTGTTAAGGCTTAATGGAGATGTACATGGGTGGGGAATTTTACATTCAAAAGGTTTGAAAAAGGGGATCTTTTCACGTGTGAATCTCCATTATTACTTGTTTTCCCAAAGAAGCCTGATGGAAGCAATTACTGTGTTGATAATAATTGATTAATTTGTTTTATTAATGCAATTTATTGTGTTGCGCACACAAAGAAACACATTTATAATACCACATTTATTTTACCCAAATAGTGCAAACTATGAAACCAAAAAATGATGAATTAATACATTTTTATCACTAAAATACTGAAATGTATAACCACACACACAGGTACCACAGTGGGACGGCTGAGGCTGTGTGTGAATGATTAGTGTTGGTCAGAGGAGCCAATGGCTCTAAGAATATCCACTTGCATAAAACGTGTTGTATTATTATTGTTATTGTTATTTTCATTATTATTATTATTATTATTACTACATCTCCATGTATTGCCTCTTAATGAAGCCTGCGTTTTATAGAGGCCATGGCTGCTCATGGCTTTGGCTTTTGGCCTTGTGCCTCATCGATCCCTGCTGCGCTCCACTAGAAAAGCACAGTATCCTTCTTTTCCACGCCTGCAGGCGGCGTGGCCTAATCAGGACTGGCGTGTGCACGGCTGCTTTGGGAACGCCTCTCCCAAACGATTAAGTGCCGGGACAGTGCCGGCTCTCTTCCCTCTTCTTGCCGCCACATCCCATCTAAAAAGCATTTCATCTGAGGCTTGCAGAGTGTGGTGTGAGAAGCACTAGGTAATAGGCTGTGTAATGCATTTGGGGAGGGGGATGCAAGTTTAGTATTCTCAGTTAGCTCTGACCTCCGGCGGCCTCAGCCACCCCCTCACTAATTTCCAATGAAAAGATGTAATTGAGTTCATCAGGATGAGTAAACATGTTATAACTAGCAAAGAAAGATAACAGAGTGGTGGATAGATCAAGGAAGTGAAACGGAACCATATGGTTAATTGAAAATATTCAAAGACAAACACAGGTAGACAGTGTATGAAAGAAACATATGCATTAAGAACATGCTTATTTCATGCCTTACACAAAGCTTGTGTGAAAATGTTCACAATTCTATATTCTTGAACTTAATGCCTGAACTTACTATGGGACTGACTGGGCCTAAATGACAGCCTTGCAATAGTCCATATAATCTAAGTATGTTGGATCTGACATCTTGAATGCCGGCAAGACATGCAAGTCTTGCTCTGTACAATGAGTTGTATTGAAGTCCAATCCCAGAGGAGTGTGTATAATTTTAAGCTTCTAAAATTGACCACCATCTTCCAAACATCGAACATTGTCAGTCTGAAGCGACTGCTGCGGTCAGGCAATTGTCTGTCAGTTATTGGCCCGGCCACCGCCTCGGCTCGGCTCCTGGTGATGGAGAGTGGGCTCATTGTGGCCATTTTCATCTGTCAGAGCAGCAAGCACCTTTAGAAAAGAGAGAATGCTCAGGCCCAGAATGGATTAGTTAGCAGGGTACAGCTGGATCCTGCTATGCCAAGTCATTGATTGCTGCACTATAGCTCTTAGCTCTCAAAGCCGCCTCATACTGTACATTCCAGAGACACCACATGTGGTAGATGGCGAAAAAACACAGTAGCTTTTACTGATGAAAGGAACATACCTTTCACGTTGGTTTCAAAATCATTTTCTTGAAACATAATCAGATGTTGTGTTTTTCTTTATTCTTTATTAAAATTGTTTTTATACAATACAGGAATTCAAACTGATAGGCTTGTTAAGTTTGTATGTATTTTTGATACAATGTTTGTGTGCCTGTGAATCTAAAGCAATATCTGTATTATAGACAACATTGATGCCAGTATCTGGACTGTGCAGAAGCAAATGTTTGCTGTAGGCTGCTCTTCTCTGCATCCTATTTTTTTTGTTAAAGAACTCATGCCCACACATTCATTCATCCATTCAGGATGATTTTTGTTTTTATTATGAGCTCAATAGATTTATACACAGGCTTAATTCTTCACAGACAAACAGAAACCTCATTTGCATGTGCAATGTCTACATTTTTAATAATGTAAGTAAGTCACACGTTCCTTTAGGCCGCCGCACAGGTGGAACCACCAGAGCCTCCACCCCCATCTCTCACTCATTCATATGTTTTGGATGAAGGCCATCCTGCTGCCTGCGGAGATGTGTGTGCAGGGATCAGTTTTAAA